CCGATCCTTGTTATTTTCACTGTAACTATTCTGTTGATAATGAGTGAAAATTGTGCGAAATTTCATGTTCCTAGCTGCATAAATGGAGGAGTTATGTTAAAAGACCTCATATCTGAACAATCAGTTGTATGAGGCCTGCAGGTTATAGTGACCTGATCTTTGTTACTTTCACTGTAAGTCTTCTGTTGACAATGAGTGAAAACAGCGCTAGCTACATAATTGGAGGAGTAATAACGAAAAATCTCATATCTGAAAAATCAGTTGTGCGGGAGCTATAGGTTATAGTTACCCCATCTTTTTAATGTTCACTGTAAGTTTTCTGTTGGTAATTATTGAAAACAGTGCGGAATTTCATGTTCTTAGCTATATAAATGGAGGAGTTATAACGAAAAATTTTATATCTGAACAATCAGTTATATGGGAGCTGTAGGTTATAGTGGTCCGATTCTTCGAGTGCCGACAAATGATTAAAACATTATAAAAAAACACCCACCTACCAAATTTTAACCGGATATCTCGAAAACTGAGAGACTAGATTGCATACAAACAAACGGACAGACGGACATGGCTAAATCGACTCTGCTCGACTTTCTGATCATATAAGTATACATTTTAATGGGTCTATCTCTTTTTATTCTGGTACTTACAAACATCGGACCAAAATTATAATACCATTTCATGCTCATGAAAGGTATAAAAATAGAATATCACGTATGTTCTGAAATTCGTTCGATTTGAAATCGATACGATTTTGGAAATATTTTTATGGATTTTCAATCATAAAACTCATAACTTGGTATTGGGATGATATAACATCGCTGATGGTTCTATTATATTTTTTATATAAAAAATATTCAATCTTTTCATTAGAAATAACGGTCAATATTTAGCAAATCATATTGATTTAAAAATCGTTCGATTTACAGAACATGCCTGTATATGAATATATGTATATATATTTTAAAATTAGAAAACATTTTTTCTATTATTATTAGATCTTTTTAGTAAAAGCTTCCCTTCGTCCTTTGTTTAATTTATATATGTTTATATAGTTTACTTAAAAACTTTCGCAAAAATGGACCTTATTCACAGCAAATTTCTTTGATAAATGAGAACTCATCTCAATAAAGAGATAAGTTTATAAACTTCATTTTCATTTCTCTAATAAGCATACGAATTCAAATTGGCTGGCTTTCAAAACGTCAATCACATTTAATAAATCAATGGCAATTTAAAAAGAATTTAGAAATAGCCAAACAAAAAATTCATTGCTATACATATATATTTAATTTCTCCGATAAGCCCCAAGTTGTGGTGTGATTTTTAAAACACTAATATATTAGCCTATTCACCTATTCACCTAGATCCTGATTTCATCGTCATTGTTTGTGTAATAAGTATATTAATGCCAAGTGGACGATAACGAGCCCACATAAATATATAAAAAAATGCTAAAAAATGTTTGACTTACTGAAAAAAGTTGTTAAGTCCACTTTTTATGAAGACTCATATTTTGATATATGTAGGTAAAAAATCTATAATTTCTATAAGTTAATAATATATATAAAAATGAATGCCATTTTTCGTTGTGACTTTATAACTCAAGAACGGGCTCACCTATCCAAACCAAATTTTTAGGCTTTGTTTGGACTGTTCAGTAGATGGTTTGTGTTTTGAAATTTTAAGAATCGGATACCAGGGTCTCGAGAAATAGGCCAAAACGTGGACCCGCGTAACCCTAGGATGTGTTTGTACAATATGGGTAGCAAATGGAAGCTGTTGATGATTTCTATAGTATAGAGTACTTTTCATACCGTTCCGTGACTAGGATCTCGAGATATAGGCCAAAACGTGGACCCGGGTAACCCTAGGATGTGTTTGTACAATATGGGTAGCAAATGGAAGCTGCTGATGATTGCTATAGTATAGAGTATTTTTGATGCCGCTCCGGGACCAGGGTCTCGAGATATCGGCCAAAATGTGGACCCCGATTACTTAAGGATGTGTTTGTACAATATGGGTAGCAAATGGGAGCTGTTGATGATTGCTATAGTATAGAGTATTTTTAATGCCCCTCCGTAACTAGGGTCTCGAGATATAGACCAAAACGTGGACCTGGATAACCCTAGGATGTGTTTGAACCACATGAGTATCCATTGTAAGTTGTTGATAAATGCTAATGAAAAGAGGACTTCTTTTCGCTGGGTAACTAAGGACTCCAGATGTAGACCAATTGGGAACTCGCCTTCAGGTTAAGAGATTGCATTCTTATGTACTACAACCAGTTAAAATGGTATATTCAATCACATAACAATATAATCTTTTTACCTGAAGGCGAGTTCCCAATTGCAAAATCAGAAACAGAGAATCGGCCGTTGGAATGTATCAAACAACTTTTTTATTGTACTTACCTTTCTACATCCACTCATTTCGATGTAAGAATAAGCACAAAGTATTTTTATTTGAGAATGGCACATTTTGTTCGTGCTTACATTTTGTGTGAAGAGATATGTGCACGTAGACAAAAATATTAATCAGCATGTTAAAAACAAATCAAAACAAACACCTCATTACTTATTTCCTTCATGGTAAACGTTTCAAAAATTTCACCACACATATGTTACATATTTTTTTTTATTTAACTCGTACCTACTTGAAAAGTTGAAAAGCGCTCAATGTATGGTGAAATTATTTTTAAAAACACACCAAAAACCCATTTGTTTGGTCAGATTCATCCCACTTAGCCAGCGGATTATACGTTTTCATTTTAACATACATACATCAATAATAGTTGAATCATTTACTAAACGATTTGTTACCTACTTAGCTACGCTCTTTCGCTCTCAAAATTTATGTACTTTCGTCTTAACTATAGCATACTTATTATTCCCACCTACACACTTACTTGCATTATATTTATATCAACATGTAGATATGTATGTAGCAGGCAGATCGACAAACAAAGTAGGCTTTGAAAAGACATCGAACTATATTACGGTGCATTTATTTTGAATAGAGAAATACATGAATATTTTGTACCACCTACAAACTTACTTGCATTATATTTATATCAACATGTAGGTATGTATGTAGCAGGCAGATAAACAAAAAAAAGTAGGCTTTGAAAAGACATCGAACTATATTACGGTGCATTTATTTTGCATAGAGAAATACATGAATATTTTGTATAGATAGGTATATAGAGTAAGGGTGGGTAACTCAGCAAATTTATAGGAGTTGACTCAATGACTCCAACTCACTTTAAGGAGTCAGCTCATTCAACTAACTCATTTGACTCTTTGTATGTTATGTAGCGTTTTTGCTGCATTTAAAATGCAACATTTAGCACTTTCGAACATATGTTTTCGAAGAGCGTTCATGCTATAGCATTTAGCAAATGTACATTTACGCGAGTTCGAAATCGTATGCTTTTGACAAACAGCCGTGTTCCAGTCTCTTATTTAGATCCCTATATATTACGATTAATTCTCACACAGAAGATAATGTGCAAAAACCCTACTGAAAAGGAAAAAATAAATTTTAAACCTACAAAAACTTGAATTGTTTTAACCATAACCGAACATTTGTTTATGTATATATTCATTTGTGGGTGCTGTCAATTAAAATTTCCTCACTTAATTAGGAAACAAAACAAACAGAGTTGATCATAAATTGATCCTGATTTCTATCAGCATCACATCGATGTTGAATTTGCTTAACTTTTCTTTATCCAAATATGTAATGTAAAATAAAAGAAATCTCGATCGACGATCACTGAAACGCAGCTAGCAACTGTATACTCGAAAAAGCAATGTTGCCACTTTTTCTCTTTAAAACATGTTCGAATCGTGGAAATTTTGGAAGATCACAGGGTTGCTTTTAGCATTTAGATTCTTAATGCAAAAATGGAGTTGCATTTAGGTGGCGAATTTTGTATGGTTAAATGTACATTTAGAGTAGCATTTAGAGCTAAATGTGCTTTTACGCGTAAGCAAAAACAGCCCATTACACTCATTCGTATCGTAGACTCGTTTTGAGGCATAGATGCGGTATAGCGGCCGTTGAGATAAAACAAAACTTTAAAGTGGGCGTGGTCAGCTCCTTTCTACTGATTTGAAAGGTGTAATTTTTTTTGTGTGCAAATTAATAGGGCGGTGCTAGGGGGAGGGTAAAGGTGGAATTTTCAATATTTTCAAAAGCTTATATTTCGAAACCTATTGTACCGAATTTCAAAATGTGGATACGGTTGGAAAGGCAATTGATTTGATATGCACATCTTTATATATCTTACATACATACATATTTCGAGAAAAACTAAAAAAAACAAAGAAATTATAAGAATTTGTGAGATTTGACATAACACCCGCAATACAAAATACATGTGGTTGTTGTTGTTGTATTCTTGCCACCACCTTGTATAAATTCGCCTCGTGCAAAAACAAAATGCAAGACTTTGCCATGCTAAACACTGTGGCGAAGCGAGAGAGTTATATGGACAAATATGAGCCACTATGATTCAATTGATTCATGTGAGCCCTACGGCATCAACTGAGTTACTGAGTTACATTTTTTTTGGACAGGGAGTCTGAGTTACCGATTCACTTATAGGAATCAACTCAATAACTCAACTCTGAGTTGAGTTACCCACCTCTAATATAGAGCTTTGACTCTTAGCAAATTAGGAGAATATATGACATTGGAGTGTAAACATCGCTGGAGCGTTTTCTTTGGCCCCATACGTTCAGTAGTGTCCGAAATTACCGCGGTGCAAAATTATTAGTTATTATAGTGTTTTTTTTTTAATAATTATTGAAGTTTGTGTGAATTTGTGAAAAGAAGAAATATAGCGCAAAGCGAATTTCCAAGCAAAAAACGGTAAGTTTTGAACTGTTGAAGTGAATTACACGAATGCATGTGTTTCCTTATTTGAAAAAACATATGGTGTATTAATGTAGGCATTTTTTTTTATTTAATTTATTCTTTTTTAATTGAAAGAAAAATGCCACGACCCACACGAGGAAATATAGGTCGGCGAACGCGTCATGCAAATGCTACGGCATTACAAAGGCGATCACAGACTCCAGATGAACGAGCACAAGCTAATGCATCGCAGCGTGAACGTAATGCACGAAATAGATCTGTTGTACCTGAAATTATGCGTGCTGCTTTTAATTACAACAGTCAGATTAATTACAGTATGTACGGATATATTGGAATAAAGGACGCAATATGTCCACATTGTGATGCGGCTAAATTTCCAGGTGAAACGCCCGGCATGTGTTGTGCTAATGGCAAAGTGAGATTGCCACCATTAGAAACTCCACCCGAACCATTGTCTTCATTAATTTTTGGGACTTCTGAAAATTCGAAGCACTTTTTGAGTCATATTCAACAATACAATTCGGCATTTCAAATGACTTCTTTTGGTGCTACTAACATTATTAGAGATAATTTTATGCCGACGTTTAAGGTAAATACTTAAACAGGATTGTCCCAATCAATCTGAATCATAAAAGTATTCTATAGTTTTAAAAATTATTATGCAACATATACCTAAAATTGCATACATGTTGCAGATTCAGGGCCAAATTTATCATCAAGCTGGTTCGTTATTGCCATACCCCGACGCTGATTATCAATTTTTGCAAATTTATTTTATTGGTGATGAAAATCGTGAATTGGATCAACGTTGTGCAATTGCTTTGAATACAAGACGAGAAATTATTTGTGAGCTACAAAGGTTTTTCCATCAGCATAACGCATTAGTTCAATTGTTCAAAATTGCTCTCGATCGTATGCCATCTGATAATCACAAAATCGTAATAAGGGCTGATAGAACACCTTTTGGAGAGCATGAAAGGCGATTCAATGCACCGACAATTGATGAGGTTGCAATTGTAATTCGTGGTGATCAGTTTCAATCGCGTGATATTATACTTCATCGTAGAAATGAGCAATTGCAACGTGTTTCGGAACTTCATCGTAGTTACGACGCATTACAATACCCAATATTGCATTGGAAAGGTGACGATGGCTACCATATCAATATACCAATGATTGATCCACGAACAGGTAAATAATATTTTCAGTGTGTTGACATTTCATCATTTGTAGAAATTTCTTAAGTCACATTTTCCACTTATTTTCAGGTCTACATGTACAGAAAAAAGTTAGTGCCATGACTTTTTATTCTTATCGATTGATGGTTCGTCCACAAGAACAAAATTATATCTTGAGATGTCGTAAACTATATCATCAGTACATCGTTGATATGTACGCCAAAATAGAAACAGAATGTCTTAATTTTATTCGTTTCAACCAAGCAAAATTAAGATCTGAACAATATATTCATTTGCAAGATGCGATAGCGAATGATGCTAATATTAATGACATCGGACGTTTAACTATATTGCCATCTTCGTATATTGGTAGCCCACAGAATATGAACGAATATGCACAAGACGCAATGTGTTATGTACGAAAATACGGTAGACCGGATCTGTTCATTACATTTACATGTAATCCGCAGTGGGATGACATCAAAAACAATTTATTTGCAGGACAGTCGACAACCGATCGTCATGACATTACTGCGCGTGTTTTTCGGCAAAAATGTAAAGCACTTATGGATTTAATTGTGAAATTATATGTATTTGGGGAGGTGCGTTGCCATATGTACTCCATCGAATGGCAGAAGAGGGGATTGCCGCACGCACATATACTAATTTTGCTGGTACATAAAATAACTCCGGATCAAATCGATAACCTTATATCAGCTGAAATTCCTAATCACACTGCTGATCCTGAGTTATTTCAAGTTGTCGTTAAAAACATGATACATGGACCGTGCGGTGAACTAAATGTGAATTCACCATGTATGATTGATGAAAAGTGTTCGAAACGATACCCAAGGCAATTTACTTCAGACACAATAACGGGCAATGATGGATAACCGTTGTATCGACGTAGATCACCTAATGATAATGGCAAAACGGCAACCATTAGAATGCATAACCAGGAAGTTGAAGTTGATAATCGTTGGGTGGTTCCGTATTGTCCATTATTATCGAAAATATTCAACGCTCATATAAATGTGGCATATTGTAATTCTGTCAAATCCATTAAATATATTTGCAAGTATGTAAATAAAGGGAGCGATATGGCTATTTTCGGTGTTGCTGGTGATAATAGAAATGATGAAATTACTCAGTATCAAATGGGTCCCTATATTAGTAGCAATGAAGCTGTCTGGAGGATTATGTCGTTCCCAATGCACGAAAGACATCCTGCGGTTGTTCACTTGGCTGTACATCTTGAGAATGGCCAACGTGTTTATTTTAATGTAGCAAATTTATTGGAAAGAGCAGCGCAACTACCAGCAACTACGTTAACAGCTTTTTTCAAATAATGCGAAACTGATACATTTGCGATAACTTTGTTATATTCTGAGGTGCCCCAGTATTACACATGGAATGTGTTTTCGAAAAAATTTCAAAGACGTAAACAAGGAACAGCAGTTCATGGGCATCCTGGCATTTTCCAAACAGATGCAATTGGCAGAATATATACAGTACATCCAAACAATATTGAGTGTTTTTATTTGAGATTGTTATTAGTTAACGTGAAGGGCCCAAAATCATTTCAAGAATTGAGAACAGTCAACGGTCATTTGTGTGAAACATACCGTGAAGCATGCCAACTTTTGCATTTGTTGGAGGATGATGCACATTGGGATTCAACACTTCATGATGCATCTATTTCGGCTCATCCTCAACAAATACGAATGATGTTTGCCGTTATATTATCAACATGTATGCCATCAAATCCACTTGAATTATGGAACAAATATAAACATAATATTGCAGAAGATATTTTAATTCGTATGCGTCATCATGCAAGATATCCTGATTTGTTGATAACTTTGGAAATGTACAACGAAGCTTTGATAATAATTGAAGATATGTGTCTACGGATTGCAAATAAAACATTAGTATAATTGGGTATGACCGCACCAAATCGTGACATGCATGATCTGTTTGATCGTGAATTGCAACGTGAGCAGGAATTCAATTCTAATGATTTGCGTTTATTTGTACAATCGAATATAACCAAAATGAATATTCAGCAAAAACATGTATATGACACAATCATGCAAGCCATTTCCAATAATGCAGGTGGGTTATATTTCTTGGATGCACCTGGTGGTACAGGCAAAACGTTCGTTATATCACTGATTTTAGCAACTATTCGATCGGAACAGAAAATTGCATTGGCACTTGCATCTTCGGGAATTGCTGCTACATTATTAGAAGGTGGTCGGACAGCACACTCTGCATTAAAATGCATTGCATGTACAGGTGATTGAAACTCCAACTTGCAATATTTCAAGAAATTCTGCTATGGCAAAAGTTCTGCGATTAACGTCAATTATTTTATGGGATGAGTGTACAATGGCGAATAAAAAATTACTAGAAGCATTTAATCGAACAATGCAAGATTTACGTGGTAACCAACAGCTTTTTGGTGGTGCTTTGATATTACTGTCAGGGGATTTTCGACAAACATTGCCTGTCATTCCTCGGTCAACTCCTGCTGATGAAATAAATGCCTGTTTGAAGTCATCAGTTCTTTGGAGATATGTACAAAAATTGACACTGAACATTAATATGCGTATTCACCTACAAAATGATCCAGCTGCCCATGAGTTTTCAAAACAATTGTTACAAATTGGTGATGGCAAAATACAAATCGACAGAACCAACGGATTGATCACTGTACCGAATAATTTTTGTACAATTACGAAATCGATAGATGAATTGATTGAATGTGTTTTTCCAAATATTCTTCAGAATTACAGAAATCATGATTGGTTGAGAGAACGCGCCATTTTAGCACCGAAGAACATTCATATCAATGCAATTAATTTTCAAATTCAAGCAGGTGTAGTCACGACATATAAATCAATTGACAGTGCTATGAATCAAGATGAGGCAATGAATTATCCAACTGAATTTTTAAATTCATTAGAACCGCATTGCTTGAATCTGAAAGTGGGTTCTTTGATTATATTATTGCGAAATATTAATCCACCAAAACTGTGTAATGGCACCAGATTGGCAGTGAAAAATTTATTGCCAAATTTGATTGAAGCTACGATCTTAACTGGTAAATCAAAAGGAGAAGTTTGTTTAATACCGCGTATCCCTATGATTCCAACTGATATGCCATTTGAATTCAAACGATTACAATATCCTGTGCGTTTATCATTTGCGATGTCCATCAACAAAGCTCAAGGGCAAACACTTAACGTTTGTGGTGTGAATTTGGAGGAATCATGTTTTTCACATGGCCAACTTTATGTTGCCTGTTCCAGAGTCGGTACCCCCAGCCGTTTGTTTATTCATGCTCAAAATGGAAAAACAAAAAATATTGTTTATCCAAATGTTTTGGATTAAGTTTTAAAATAGCGAGCAAATAATTAAATATATTTTTTTTTATTAATGAGTTTGATTTAATATTTCACTTTATACGTAGCGAAGCACATACCGGGCCGCTAGTAAGTTAATAAAGTTATTACTTATATGAAAACTGATGAACTTATATGAAAATTAATGAAATTATATGTGTTTAGACGAGACTGCTAACACCAGGCGCCTAAATGCATGCTATGTACTGCTGCATGTGCAAAAATTTCCTTCATTAAATTAATGAAATTTATGTACATGCACTTCTCAACTGCCATGTAATAAAACTTTCTTAAGTTTTAATTTGATGGCAGTTCAAAGGATGCTCTGCCTAGTCGGATGCATCCTCCGGACACTACTTTCGGAGCATTCTGCGGACTCTGCATGACTTACAACCATGCGGAGGTGGTAACAGTTGATTACCATCGGCCACAGTGCCTACCCACTACTTTTTGGTCCAATAAATATTTTTTTTTTTATATACATACATGCAAACATACTGGTCTTCCCTCTCACTGAGTTATTCATGGTCCTTCGAGCCGGATATTTGCGGCTTATTTTACGTCTACTAGACGACCAAATCGTCTAGGGGGGCCGGTATGTTTAGACGCGACTGCTAACACCAGGCGCCTAAATGCATGCTATCTACTGCTGCATGTGCAAAAATTTCCTTCATTAAATTAATGAGATTTATGTGCATGCACTTCTCAACTGCCACGTAATAAAACTTTCTTAAGTTTTAATTTTATGGCAGTTCAAAGGATGCTCTACCTAGTCGGATGCATCCTCCGGACACTGCTTCCGGAGCATTCTGCGGACTCTGCATGGCTTACAACCATGCGGAGGTGGTAATAGTTGATTACCATTGGCCACAGTGCCTACCCACTACTTTTTGGTCCAATAAATATTTTTTTTTTTTATATACATACATGCAGACATACTGGTCTCCCCTCTCACTGAGTTATTCAATATGAGTTCATCAATTTAATACTTATATCAAAAACTATAATTTCTATAACTTAATAAAGTTATTACTTGTATGAAAAATTATAACTTATATTAGATAATAAGGCAATTACTTATATGAAAACTGATGGACTTATATGAAAATTAATGAAATTATATGAGTTCATCAATTTAATACTTATGTGAAAATCTATATTTTCTATGAGCTAATGAAGTTCTTACTTATATGAAAAATTATTGAAAACTCATAACTTCCATGAGTTAAAAAGGTTATTTATTCGTCAATATTATTGTGGCTTGTTAACATTTTATTTTTAATATTTTTATTGAGCACCACACTGTCGAGTTTAAATAGCGGAAAATCAGCTGCACTTGATAGTAGCTGGTTGAATAAGGAAAAATGAATTAGCAACAACAGTTTACGGGATGTACATAGCTCAGTGGTAACGCTTCTGACTTTGAACATCGAATACGCAGGTTTGATCCCTGCTGAAGTCTAGAAAAAAAGAAGTCTGATGAGGAGATGTGATGATCTCCGAAATAGTGCTATAACTTCTGCCGTTTATGCTTTGTTGCTTTTTCAATTTTTCCTAATAAACAATCATGGTACAGAGCTCAATAAAAATATTAAAAATAAAGAGGTTATTGCTTATATGAAAAACTTGTAACAGAGTCAAAAATGTATGAGAAATATTTGAAACTTCATCAAAATAATGCATACAAGAAACATTACATATTTACTAGACTTTTTTTTGTACATTGACAAAATCTATGAAAATTTGAAACATATGTTAATTAAGAAACAATTAAGCATATGAAAACTAATGAAACAAACTTACATGAATTAATAAAGCAATTAATTACATCAAATGTATAACTTTCATGAGATATAGATATAACTTGTATGAAAACTGATGAACTTATATGAGTTCATCAATTTAATACTTATATAAAAATATATAGTTTGTATGAATTGACTAGTTTTTTGATTTGGCCGTTTTATTATAATTTTTTCGTTAATTCTGAGCTCCAGGCCGGTTATTAAATAAAACATAGATTTTGGTAGTTTTATTTATTACATTTATTGCTGTCGATATTTCGCCTTCAATCTGAAGGCATCTTCAGGACTGAAAAACACCAAATGCATACATATTTACGTCAAATTACAAAAAACTTACATCGAAAACGCAACTTACATTATTGAGTTTTTCTAATCGACTAATTATATGTGCAGAAAAATATTAACAAACAAGCTCAAAGAACACTTAAATATAAACAAGAGAATTTAAGCAAGTCGAAATACCGTAAATGTAAACAAACAAGTAAGAGCAGCGCTGTCTTCGGCTATGCCGAAGGCTTCATACCTTTCATGAACATCTGCAAATTTTACTTTGACAGATTACTGCTTTTGAATACATCTGCATACATCGATAGAGGAGTTACACACCTATATAAAAAATCGCATCTGAACAATCAGAGGTATGGAAGATATACCTCATATTAGCACCAATCTAAGTGATTTTCACTACTATGTGATTGGTATGTAAATCGGTAACACAATTTATTGGGTTTAGGAGATATATCGCAAAAACTGGTATCTGAACAATCAGTGGTATAGGAGATAAAGCTTATACAGCATAGATTTTGACGATTTCCTCAGTAGACTTTGTATTATTATTTATAAAATATCTATATACGAAATTTATCGGCTTTAGCTGTTCAAATAAAGGAGTTTTACAGTAAAATCCCATATCTGAACAATCAAATGTATGGAAGATACAAATA